AGCAAGTGAAGACGGGCTAATGCCAAAGAACCTCACTCACATCTTTTGGGATATAGAAACCAATTTTCTGTTCTTAAAATTTAGGGAGCTAACGGTTCTTCTTGCCCTAAAATATGATCAGTGAGTATTAAAAACTCTGCTTCTTATTTAACCTGTTGTGTTTTCTGAAAAGGGGGATATGTCAGTACTGTTAAGAAATCTACGCACTATTCCGCATGTATCAAGGATTACCGATTTCTGTAGACTTATGTACGTAAACTTATGCAGTTTCAACTCGGCTAGGCTAGCGTGTAATGTTTTAGGTATAACGCCTATTGATGATATTATTATTGGAATAATTCGAACTGTGTTCTGATTCCACATGTCTTTTATTTCATCTGCTAATGGAATATATTTTTGAATTTTCTCAATATGTTTTTGTTTAAGATTTTCAGTGTTTGGTACTGCAACATCTATTAGGTAGGTCGTTTTAGTGTCTTTGATGGTCAGTGTGATATCAGGTCTGTTATGATTAACTGTTTTATCTGTAATTACGTCTATATCCCAATATAACTTGGCTAAGTGGTTTTCTAACACATTTTGTGGTTTGTATTTGTAGTAGTGCTCTATCTGATCTATGAGTTTAAACTTTTTGGCTATTATTATTATTGATGACTGAGACAGGGTGCAAAAATGCTCAGGGACACCATGTCGTCAGACGATTGTATCCCCATCCCTCTGTCCCTCACTCAGATGTCCATAGACCAGCTGCCCTGCCAAAACAGCAGCTTCTCCAGGTTCCTGCATAGTTCCTTAAAAATCTATCTCTATCTATTAATCTAGCCCCCAGACATTTCTGTAGTTTCTCCATTAATGCTGGGAATTCGTAGATTACGTGTCTCGGGGTTTCTTTCTCGCTTTCGCACCATCTACGTAGGTAACTTCTTCCCTGTGTTTTGTGGGTGTAGCATCTTAGCTCGCTGTACCCAATAAACAATAATAGGATAAGAAGCGCATCGTTCCTCTTCATGTTCCTTAGCTCCATGTTCCAGCTATTTATGTATTTCCCGAGCAGCTCCTTGGACCATCTGTGTCCCAGAGTTGCTGGCCAGGTGTTCCATTTTTGCTTTCTCATGATTCTACTAATAGCGTTGTTTCCTTCTTGGTATGGTATTCCTACCTCGCCGTCCGGTTGTTCTTCCATATCAGCTCCCTGCTTTGCAAGTTTGTCAGCTTTTTCGTAACCGTTGTATCCCGAGTGACCTGGTATCCAGATAATAGTTACTCTATTCCTCGTTCCTAGTTCATTTAAGGTATCTTTCACCCTTTGAACTAGCTTAGAGGTAGTTACTGGCTTCTCCAGTGCCATTATAGAGGCTTGACTATCAGTGCAGATTTGTAAGTCTCTGCCTTCGACTCTATCCTCTAGAAGCTTTTCCGCACACTTACGTATTGCAGCCATTTCTGCTTCAAATACCGTGTTATACTCTCTTAGGTTACGGGACAGCCCCTCCTTGTTGTGAGGACCTTGTATCCCGTATCCTGTTCCTTTGACTGTTTTGGATCCATCTGTGAATCAGATTTCTCCGTGTCCCAGTGCCTTGCTATCCTTCCACTCCTCCCTGTTTGGTATCCTTGTTTTAAAGTTTCCCCCAAACTGGATTCGCCTGTTCATTCTATCTTGCGGTATCGCAAGTGTTTCTTGGTATGAGGTTCAGGATGGTTCCATGTCCCTCTCCTTCTCTCCGCCATTTCACGTTACCGATCAGTCTGTATGCTGTTCTTGCGGCTTGTTCCCTGATCTCCAGGTCCAGTCCTTTCATATCCAGCATCATCCTGACCGCAGCTATAGGCGTGCTTCTTTTTAGTCCGAAAGACCCCCTCAGGACAACTGCCTGTATGTGATCCAGGATCGCCTTTGAGGTCTTTTTGTCGATTACTTTCCACCATATCGTTGCAGCATAGGTCAGTTTTGGTCTCAGTATAGCCTCATATAACCATAGAGTCTTTTGGGGTTCAAGCCCCCAGCCTCTTCCAATTGCCGACCTACACTGCATAAATATGTTAATCACCTTTCTACTTTGCAGCATCAGGCGATTATTCCAATTTAATTTCTTATCTATGTGTATACCTAGATACTTAACTCTTTCTGCATACAGTATCTTTTGCCCACAGAAGGTTATTTCCTTTATCTCTTTCCTTTTGTACTTCCTCATGAAACAGACAATCTCTGTTTTATCTGGATTAACAGCCAGGGATTTTGCCTGACCCCACGTTCTAATTTTCGATAGAGCTCCCTTCATGATGTCCGGTAGTACCTCCTCAAACTTGCCCTTCACCAGCAAGCACAAGTCATCGGCATACCCTACAGTTCGTATTCTATCTCTCCCTAACAGCCATATAAGGTCGTCAACTACCAGATTCCACAGGAGCGGTGATAAAACCCCCCCTGAGGACATCCTTCGTTGATTTTCCCCTCCACTGTTTTACCTTTCCATTCGCTGTATACTGTCCTGTCGCTTAGCATCCTCCTGATCCATCTCCTGATGGGCGATGGGGTATCTCTACTGGCCAGAGCTGCATCAATGGAATCCCTAGAGGTGTTACTAAACGCTCCCTCTATGTCCACGAAATCCCCTATTGTAATTTCTTTTGCCTCCATCGCTTGTTCGGTGTAGTCCACTACAGAGTGTAGTGCTGTCTCTGTGGATTTTCCCACAGTGTATGCATGTTGTTCACAGTGAAGAGGACGCCTGCTCAGCACTTCTTGCCTGATGTAAATGTCCACCAGTCTTTCCAGTGCCTTTAGCAGGAATGACGTCAGACTAATTGGTCTGAAGCTCTTCACTGTGGAGTACTCATTCCTTCCAGGTTTTGGTATGAATGAAACCCTTGTCTTCCTCCAGATTACTGGTGTATATCCTGTGGCTATACAACCTCTAATGATCCCGTTAGCAGTCCTATTATCCTTTCGCAACCTTCGTGGAGCATCTTTGGATATATGCCATCAGGTCTCGGTGCTTTATACGGTTCAAAGGTATTTACCACCCATCTCACTTTTGCTGGTGTTACTACTTGCGCCGCAGTCTCCCAACTTTTAGGTCCTCCTACCGTAGATATATGTGATCTAGAGTTGTCATCGCTCCTGACAAAGTCCGGAAAGTTAGACTTGAGAAGCAGTTCTAAGGTACCCTCCTCAGTTTCCACATGTGTATCCGACCATCCTTCAAAAACTGTAATCGAATGCTGTTATCCTTGGTCAGAATTCCAGCTAGTCTAGCTGTATCTGTTAAGTTTTCTATACTTGAACAGTATCTCTGCCATGATTCTTTTTTTGCTTTACTCACCTCGTTTTTAAAGGCTTTTAGTGCATCTTTGTACACCTTCCACCCTACTTGGTTATTTACCTTTTTAACCCTGTTAAAAGCAGCCCGGGCTTTTTTCCTCGCTTCTTCCGTGTGTTTGTTCCATCACGGCATTTTTTTCGACTGCCCACTTGAAATCAGTGGACAGTTATTCTCATAGGCTTTTATCAGTGCTCTCTGAACCTGCTCCACTGTCCATTCCAGGTCGACTTCTGTGCCATATTTGCCCTTGAGTTGCCTAGTTCCGTCCCTAAGCTCCTCTTTATAGCCTACCCAGTCCGTATTCTTGGGTTTTCTCTTGAGTACCATCCTAGGTCTGTTTATTTCCATCCCAAAACTAATAGTCCTGTGGTCCGACATGGACGGCTCCCGCTCAACCCTTAATTCATGAATATCCGCCCTGATGCCTGTGGAGATGAGGGTGAGATCCAGAACCTCCCTTCTACTCACTGTAATGAAGGTCGGCTCCGACCCCCGATTTGCCACCATCATCTGTGAACTTATAATAAACTAGCAGAGCTTCACCTCTGTCATTAATATCCGTGCTCGCCTACACAGTGTGATGAGCGTTGGCGTCACACCCGATAATCAATTCCAGGCTTCTACATCTGCAGTATTCCACCACCTTCCTTACCTCTACTGTCGGTGCTTCTTCTTCGTAGGGTAGGTACGCAGAGGTAACCACTATTACCCTCTTAAACCCCTCCTCGTTCTTGACTTCCACTCTGATTGTTGTACAGTCCCTTGAGCTTAGTTCCTGCAACAGAAAACCATCTATCCCTTTGATGAAAATGCATGATCGAGCATTTCCATCTTTGCTTCCCTCAAATAGTTCCCCATTTGAGTCCATACCTCTAATACGTCCCCTCCATATCCAGGGTTCTTGTATTAGTGCTATACCTGTACGCACCCTTGCCATGTTCCTTGCCAAAATAGCAGAGGTGCAAATTAATTTGAGTGAAGCTTATCTCGATAGGAGCCATATTAATGCTCCATCGCACACTGCGCTTCCTCAGTTCCCTTTACCTCAGATCCACCAGCGTTCTTTCGGTCCAGTACCTTAAAGGTAACCTTCCCTACGCCCGCCAGTAGCCCGAAGCTCCAGTTTTCTAGGGTTTTTACCGATGGTTCATCTAGTCCCGTCAGAGGCCTGATTAAGGACCACCCATCTAGTGGTATCCACCCCCCCATTCTGCTTCCGGATCAGTGTGATGAGCTCCGTCGCATTCTTTACCCCTGAGGGTAGCCTAGCCATCACCTTGATAACTTCGACCTCCTCTGGATCTAATACCCGTACCTTAAGTTCCGGTTTTCCCGTATCCAAAGAATCCACCATTCCTTTCAGCCATTCCCCTCGCAGACAAAGACCAGTGTTCCCTTTCTAAGGAATGTCTCCGCAAAACGAGTTACAAAAGCCCCCTCTTCCACCGCGATAACCCGTTCCACCGACCTCTTTATTGCGTCACCTATCTCTACCGGCATCTCAGCCCCAAGGTATTTCCCACAGGTCAGGATCACCTTTGGAAGCGTCGATGTTACTCCTGCGTAGCTGCCTATTATTCTTTTCTTGAGCGGTTTCATGCCCGTCTCACTAGAATCTAGGCTATTGGAGGCTGCCCTCTTCCCACCCGCAGAGGAGGTCGCATCTTCCAAGGGTTTCGAGGCGTTTCCAAGCCACCTCTGTTCCCTCTTCTTCTGCTTCCTCTTCTCACCACACTTGGGAACAAGTCTCCCCTCCTCTATAGCCTTCTGCTTCAAGAGCTTCCTTCGCTGAGCCCCACTTAGGTTTCGGTTCTGGCCCGTCCCTGTTCAGTTCGTCAGTGAAGTCGGATCTACTGGATTTTTACCTTCCGTTGTGGTATCGTTGGGTTCAGGGTCCCCAGCCGTTGCAACACCGTCTTTATTTTTATTGTCGTTATTCGTGTCCATTTGATTCCCACGAGTAATGCGGGTCCATATAGTCTGTCCGACTGGTCCGCTACGCCGGGTAAAGCTAGATTACAACGGGGTTTCGCCCAGTGCCCCGAGGGTACCGTTCAAGATATAGCACGCCCTGTATCACGCATCCCTCAGCACGGTAACTCACAACTTAGATTAGCAGGCTGCTTCTTAGTGGTGACCCAGCTTGTCGCCCCAGCCGGGATTCCGCTAACGCTTCATCCCTTCCTTCGCTTTTGCAGAGCCCTTTTCATTTTGGTTACTTCTCATGGAAAAAAATAAATAAATAAACAATAGTTAATGTAGTAAATATTAACATTGCGTACAATATAATATTTCACTAAAGATTCGTCAGAATCTTTAGAAGAAACCGTCTGCCGAATCATCTCCAAGTTCTAAAAAGAAACCCGAAAGTTAAGATGTTAGAATTGCGGCGAACTTGGTCATACGAGGAGGCAGTGCAGGAAAAGTACTCCTTCCCCAAGTACTCGACGTCAACAGCAGGAAAACTAAATAGGGTCGACGTAACGGGGCAAACGTTGACACACGGACAAAAAGACCCCGAATTTATCGCATTTACGAAGACCTTGAAGCACCAGAATGACAGTCTACTCCTAGATGAAAAAATAAATGGACGAAGATGCGTGTTTCTTTTGGACACTTGGGCCACTAGGAGCATAGTAAAACCCAGCGTAGTCGAGGGTTCTAACTAGGTCGTGTCGACTAAGTGGGTTCTGCGTACGGCTACTGGAGAAAAAGCGGTTGTTAATGGGGAAGCTAACGTGTCAGTTGAAATCGGTAAGACTGTCTTTGACCATCGAGTGCTTGTAGCAGATATTGAAGATGACGTAATTCTTGGGCTGGACATTATACATAGACAGGTGGCCGTAACCCGAAAGGTAAATTCTGAGACAGTACCTGTTGAAATAAGTGGAGTGATGGACAGACATTGTAGGAATCTAACCAGTGAGCAGAAATGCAAAGTGCAACATCTACTTTGTCAAAACTCCGACGTCTTTGAAACTGACAAGAATGGTAGGGGAAGGACCAATATCGTAAAACACAAGATCAATACCGATAATGCCCAGCATATTAGTCAAAGACCTAGACGATTGCCCCTGACCAAAAAGGAAGAAGCAGAGCTAATAATCCACGAAAT